CACTATGAAACGAATCCGCACGAGGCTATCGTCGGTCTTTGGGGTCATGAAAGTGTTGCTGACCTGAGTTTCTTTTGGATGGTTTAGCAACTCCTAGAGATATGGAACAAGGCTAAGAGCAAAGAACGCGATGCTATGCTCTGGGGAGATGAGGTATGTGAACCCTGTTGTGAGAGATGATGCTCTGCTGCCTCATGGATGAGTGCCAGCGTCTCATGCTCTTACGACACCCCTCAGCGACTGCAAGAGATGAGGGCCCGAGAGCTGACAATGTTCACGAAAGGTCGAGTACTTGGTCGTGACCTACTCAAAGGACGAGCCCAAGGTCCGCCTGTCTCTTAGACAAGCCGAGATTCTCACAGCACTCGCCGAGAGCCCGGATCTCGCAAAGGAGGGAGGCTGCGTACCAGAGCTCCAGGAAGTTGCCAGGGAACAGTCGTATGTTCACCCTCTATTCCTCTCTCTCTCTCTCTCTCTCTCTCTCTCTCTCTCTCTCTCTCTCTCTCTCTCTCTCTCTCATCCGGCGACGTCCGCCACATGAGCCGATCCATGGCGCAATTTATCGAGAGCAGAAGAAGAGCCTTGCCTCGGTTATGCTAACACCCAAACCACAGATCAGTAACCCTCCCCGTCTTCCACCCGGAATTCGGCCGCTTCATGCTCGAAGCCACCCCCGGCAAACCCTGGGGCATCGGCTTCAAGGAACTCCTCGACGTCGAACCCGACATGAAGCTCCGCCGCAAGATCGCAAAGGACCACATGCACAGCAACGAGTACCCCATCACCCTCACAACCTTCCCCCGCATCGGCTGCCCGGGCGACTTCACGGAACCCTACTACCCTCCCTCGGGCCCCAAACTCCGCTCCCAGTTCGTGCCCGACGAGATCGCCAACCCGCACATCCGCTTCCCCACCCTCGCCGCCAACATCCGCTGGCGCCGCGGCCGCAAAGTCCAGGTCAACGTGCCCGTCTTCCACGACACCAACACGGCCAACCCCTGGAAGGATCCCACCGTCAACCGCGACCTGCACAACTGGCCCGAGGATGACGACGTCCGCGACGGCGGCGCCGCCCCGGACAACTTTATCCACATGGACGCCATGGCGTTCGGCATGGGCAGCTGCTGTCTGCAGATTACCTTCCAGGCCAAAAACATCACCGAGGGCCGCAAGATGTACGACCAGCTCAGCCCGCTGGGGCCCATCATGCTCGCCCTGACGGCGGCCACGCCCGTGTATAAGGGATTCTTGGCCAATACCGACGTGAGGTGGAATCAGATCAGCCGGGCCGTGGACTGCAGAACCCCTGAGGAACTCGGAGAAAAGGTGAGATATTACAGAAGAGCACAGGCTGGACTATTCAACCACTCCCTCACTCACTCACAAATACCCTTACTCCTGTACCTCTCTCCTCATCTTACACCATGAGTATCTGCACATATATGAAGATGTACATATAAACAACCTCAAGGAAAGACATGCTAACACAACAACACAGCCCCTTAAAAACGACCGCTGGCGCATCCCCAAGTCCCGCTACGCCTCAAACTCAACCTACATCTCCACAGACCCGCGCCTCCGCCAGGAATACCTCGACCCGAATCTCGTCATCGACGAGTCCATCAAATCTAAACTCATGGACGGCGGCATGGACGACCGCCTCGCCACCCACTTCGCCCACCTCTTCATCCGCGACCCCATCGTCGTCTTCGAAGAAGACCTCCAGGAGCTCGACCTCTCCAAGACGGACCACTTCGAGAACCTCCAGTCCACAAACTGGCAGCACATGCGCTTCAAGCCCCCGCCCGCCGACAACTCCATCGGCTGGCGCGTCGAGTTCCGCCCCATGGAGATCCAGCTCACCGACTTCGAGAACGCCGCGTTTTCCGTCTTCATGGTCCTCGTCACCCGCGCCATCCTCTCGTTCGACCTCAACTTTTACATCCCCATCACCAAAGTCGACGAGAACATGGAGCGCGCGCACGCCGTCGACGCAGTCCTCAAGGAGAAATTCTTCTTCCGCAGGAATCCCTTCCCCAGCCGCCAGGTCCGCGTCAACAACTTCACCCAAGGCGGCGGCGGCGATAACGACGCCAGTCGTCCCAACTCCCGCCCCGGCTCCGCAGTCCCCAGCCGTCCCCCCACCCCCGTCGGCCCCGTCGAAGACGAATACGCCGAAATGACAGTCAACGACATCATCAACGGCAGCAACTCAGACTCCTCGGACGGCTTCCCAGGCCTAATCCCCCTCGTAGAATCCTACCTCGACAGCGTAAACGTCGACGTCCAAACCCGCTGCGAACTCGACACCTACCTCCGCCTCATCAGCCAGCGCGCCTCGGGCCAGCTCGACACCGCCGCCCGCTGGCTCCGCAACCTCGTCGACGTCCACCCGGGCTACAAGCACGACAGCGTCGTGGGCGAGGACGTGCAAAAGGATATTATTGCCGCCGTCGTCGCCATCGGCGAGCGCGAGACGGCCGGAGCCGGCTTCGCGGGGCTGGATATCCACGGCCTACCGAAGCTGCTCGGGAACTTCCGCCGGGGCTGCGGCGGCGCCAGCGGTGATCAGCAGCAGCAGCCGGAGGTCTCCGCGAGGAAGAGGAAGGCTTCCGAACAGGCTTAGATGCGGTACCCACGTACGTAGGTCAGTAAGGTGCGTAGGTTGGTTAAATTCACTAGTACTACGGAGACATGGGAACACTATCACGACCGAGGCATTGGGTCCAAAAAAGCAAAGAATAGGAAGGCAACATCCCGAAGGCCAGGGGGTGCAGGAAGTGAATAGGAGGGAGCAGATTAGGGTCTCGACGCCATCAGCCACATGAAAGCTCGCATTCGGCGGCGCCTTGGATAGGATCTCCGTGCACGTAATGAACTCATAGACTCAAAAAGCATATATTTAGACAGCAATGGCAAGTTCAGTCATGACGTATCCTGTTTGTGAAGGGGATAGAGAGAGCGTGAGAGACGTCGGCCGTAGGCGTGAACCATAGGACCAACACCAGTGCCAGCGTGGGAGTTAATGATTAAGCCAAATGCGTAGTTGGACGCGAACATGTCTCAATTTGATCCTGCGTCGTCGATCCAAGATCCAAGACCAAGTGAAATCTGAGGTAGTCCACGATCTTGGATCGAGTGACAGACCACAGGTCCCAGCCCAACGTAAGCGCATCATCAGGCTGCACAACTTCCCTAGCCCGACTGAAGGCGTCGAATTCATGGCTCCCGTGGGAGTGGGAACCCGGCGCACTTCCCGCCTTTCTCCAGCGGAAGTTTTGTTTGTCTCCCTCCTGCAGAGGGCTAGACTAGTAGGAAGCCAGGGATTCCCATAGTGACTTAGAACCCGTGGCGGTATCCTTCTCGATCTACTGGAAAACGAAATGCCTGCGTGAACGTCTCCTTACACTCCCGAGGCGTCTCGAAACTGAGACAGTTATCGGGCTTCCACATGACGAGTTCACTTTTCCTGTAGCTTCTTGACTCGAGGCTGCGCGGCAATTCCACAGCCCTTGGCTTCCAAGCCGCATGGCAATGTTCCGGAAAGCTGGAACCGGCCGTAAGTTCATGATGGAGAAATTGGAATGGCGCATGCTGATGGAATTTCCCGTTTCCAGTTTCCAGTTTCCAGGGAAGGGAAGACCCGGGAAGCCGGTAATCTGGGAACTAAAGGGGAGTGGGTGTGTGGAGAGAGGCGTGTAGTGTACTGGCTTTGCTTGCTTGCCCTGTTAGCAAGCCAAACGCCAAACTCGAAAATGAAATCGACACGGGGTGGTTGGTGTGATGTTTCCTCGAAAAGGCGCGAGCCACAGCGCTCTCCATCAGTTGGGCCGGATGAGCTTGCTGAACCGCCAGGCCATGTCTTGGATCTCGGCCATGGCGCACGCCAAACAAGTGCGATCCTGTGGCGAGAATAGTTGCACCGGCAATTCGATTGGGGAAGGGTTTGCCATGACATGCAACGAGGTTAGTTGAATGACAGGACGCTATGGCGTTGACGGTTTGGAGCCGGCTCGTTCGAAAGCGGACGATCCCCTCTGGTTGCCCGCCCATTGTGCCGGCAAATTTAAGGTGATCTCAAGATGGCATTCCTCCGTGGATGACCAGCTAGGTTGCCACTGGGGACGCAGGCAGGCTTCTGTCTGTGTTTATTTTGATATGCTGTGGGCTGCCCGTTTCTCCAGATCGAGCCATATCAGCCCCGTGTTGCAAGACAATAGGTCAACGTACCGGCAGCGAGGTGTGCTGGCACGGTGCATCTTTCCACAGCACAGCGTCAAGAAGCTGAAGATAATACAAGGGGGGTGAGGGGGGTTCGGGCATTCTCATCAAACCAAAGTCAAGCCGCGATCTGTCAGTTGGAGCCTTTGAGGAGAGGTCGTGTGCAACTGTGCTTCTCAGCTTGGCGGTTTGAGCTCTGCCGCGTGATGTGGCAGGACTAGCGGACCGCATCCTCTGGGTTTAGGACCGAAGAACGAAGCCCACACCACAGATAATCTGGAAGGATTCCACTGCTGTCCTCGATCTCTTACTACATTCAAGAGTCTCCGAGCGAATGAGACGCTGGCTGAACGGTCATGCATGGAAGTACAGTCCAGAACTTGAGGAGCCAACAATGGCTCATTTCCTTACGTTCCCATACTGATAGCGTCGCCGCCACTGCATTTAATGAGGTAGGGACAGCACGCGGCGCTTTCACGACAGCCTTGCTTTCGGTATAGCCACATCGCTGCGTTCGGAAAGGCCATCACTCTGACATGTCGCGTGGGAGTCGTGTGGGTAGGCTGAGGCGGCCTGGAGGTGGCAACCGCAAGCGGACTTGATCGACGCGAGACGCCATGGTTCGATTGCTGGACCGTCATGACGTAGCAGGCTGAGCTGGACGTGCGATGCGAAGTCTTTACGGATCACGCTATTGATGAGGCAGGAGCTAGTTTGCCGCGCACGGGATTGTGAGCAATTTGGGACTGGTTCAGCAACGCGAGGCGGTGCTGCGACCACTAGCTGACTTTGAATATTCGTATTGGCTGTTGGATCGCCATGTGTTGTGGATGTTTGGCAGCGGCAGCGGACAGGCATGGCGAACGGCCGTAGGAACGGTATTGTGAACTTTGTAACGGGTCACCAAAGGTTGGTTGTGATGATGCCCACCAAGACCATTGGCGCACGGTACGAGGTCGATACACGCCCAGGCCGTCAGATGTGACAAGTTGATGCTTAGAGATTGGCGAGCCGGTTGGGCGGTAGCGCGGCCAGAGACGGACGGAAACGCACCCTTGCGCAGACACACGGGTGTCAGATCGTTTGATGAGATCCAACCAGATCTGGACCCGGTGACCATGCGGGATGGAGCGTGGGAAGCCGGAGCAAATCGGTGGACTAGGTGAGGGATCTAGGCCAGAAAGCATGGCGAAGCGAAGGGGGAGAGCTTGAAGCCATATGAGAATCGTACGATGTCGTCCACGGAGAAGCGCGAAGGTTTAAACGCCGAGTCGAATATGGACAATGGTGGTGCCGTTTAGACAAGCCAGGCAAGGCCCAGAGGCTAGGAGAGCAGGTGGCGGCCAGGGACCTGGGCTGTAGCATGGCATACCTCTGTCTCTGTCCGGACCCATGTGGTCCGAGTCAGCGTGTTTGAAGGGGGAGGGGACCACAGTCCTTCTACACACACTATTGCCTGCCCGTTGTTGTCGTTGTGTCCCTGTTCTACGCCTTAGCAGAGAGGAACGCCATCCGCGGCCATTTGCAAGGAATCCGTGGCCAGCTAGGGTCTGGCAGCTGGAAGCGATAGGGGAGAGAAGCCATCAGGACTGATACTGTGTACATTATGCCACACGGCATCACCGTACGGCGATGAAGTACTGCGGCTGGGTATTGGTATGGATCAGGGAGAGAAATGGGCCGGGCCCAGATCCGAAGATCTCAGTAGCATAGCTTATCTGCGTTCAGGGCTTGGGGACCCCACGTGGCGGGGGAAAGGCACGGAGCTTTGCGCCATAGCAGAGATCAACGGGCAACGGACGTTGTCTTGGTGTATGGCTTGGGCTAGACCAGGCCGGGCGACGAAGTGATTTCCCAAAATGCTTTGGTGTCAGATGGGAAAGTGAAGTGTGTAAATTAGGCGTAGATATTGCTGCGGTCGTTGGCGTTAATTTCCATTTCCATTCTGCTCTGCAGCAACTGCCGTCATTGAGATCGGCCCCAGTAACTCGTCCGAGCATTTCTCAATGTCTTTGTGTGCCCCGAACAAGACTCCTGAGGGGTGTACTCCGTAGGAAGGACGCTCTGACGTGTTCGAAGTTCCTCGGGCGGACGCAGACAATAAGCGGAGTGTATGGGGCCGACACAAGAGGTTAGAGACATTGGATAATGACCCTGGTATGTACGTTGGATGGATTGCAACTTGTCGTTGGAAGGGGGTGGAGAGGAGTTGGGGACGACGTTAGAAACGAGAGCGAGTGAGGATGAAGCGATGGCAACAATCCTGGGATCCTAAACAGTCGGTCAGATGGTTGACAGGCAATATGCACGATACGAACCCAAAGATCGGGTCGCGCTCGCTTTGGAGAGCTCCACTGTCACCGCAGGTGAGGGGCCGATCTTGCAGTTGCGGTCGGCAAAGAAAGGAAAAGAGGGACTAGAACTTCCAGGAAGGTTGTCATCTGTTGCTGGCCGTTGGTCAGCAGGCGGGAAGAGGGTTGGCCCGGTTGAGTTTGTGAGTGGAGGCAGCGACGGGGGCAGACAGAAAGAACATGAGACTGTGACTTGACCAGGTACGGGCAATGTACCTTAACCTCTGCCTCGGGCCCGGAGTGGAGCTCTGGTGTCTCCTTCCTCGTGTTCATCGGCAGGGAAAAGGCCGCGCTATGAAATGTCATTGGTTTGGGAAGGCTCTGACCGAGGTGGAGCATAGTGCCTGATCTCGCATGGCATGGAGACTTAGTCGACAGGTACATTGCAGCTACAAGCTTGGGTGGTCTGTAGATTTTACCCATCATCCATCAAGTGCCCGAGTGAGGAGGACGGGAGTGGGCAACAACGTTCGATCATTCAACAGCTCACTAGTTCCTACAGGTTGGCTGGAGACCGGGAGATCATGACGGGGCCGGCCAATCCGCACCGGGTAGATTGCTCGTGAAGACTCGGTTCCAGAACGATAAGAGTTTCAGACCCTGCAATAGAGCGGGCAACATTGGTGAAGTATGACCCTTCAAGCTGAGAGAGAAAGTTCGTAAGTTGTGTAATAGGTGCTCAGAAATGGTGCTACTTGAGGATCTGAGTCGACAAAACTTACCCCACGATCCAGCAAGCACGGGATGCCCGAGCACGATTTAACTATGTACGATGGGCCAGTCTACCTTACCTTGGTTTGAGCAAGCGGCAGAAAGGCAGAAAATAGGGTGCGTGGATTTGCAACGTCAGGTACTGAGGTACTGTGCAGTGTGTATACTACCTAGGTGTGTGGCGGGTAAGGTACCGGTAGGCCCTTTGAGTGAAGAGCGATGCATGGCTAGGAACCTGGAAGTCATGGTTTACGGTGTAGAAAGAAGCCCGGGCTCCTGCTACAGCATGGGAGAGATGAAGCCCGCTAAGACGTTGACGATTACGGGAGTTGGAAATATCACGCCACACACGAGTCGTGAGATGCGAAAATGGGACGAACATTTCGCGGATGTAGCTTAGTCTGGCAGCTGGAGAGACAGTCAGGGCTGGTGTTGGAGGATGAGGTGGCATCCCAACTTTGAACCTTGGGGAATTTGGAACCAAATATCCATTCGGGAGTGCGTCTAGGTTAGGCAGACAGAATTAAGGTACGAGGTGAGCCCGGTAAGTTAAGGGAAGGAAGGCACGTTGTGAGGCATTTTACAGCATGGTCCTTCCTTCGCTCCGTCCTGTCGTGTTCCTCTCTTGCCGGGTAGGCACTTGCCTTGAGGTAAAGGTAGGTAGGTATGGTGGTAACTTCCATTGTGGACTGCGGCGTGCCCTGTGGAAGGTGCGTAGTAGGTAGGTGCGTACTTCGTACTCCGTACCTACGTAGTAAGGTACCTTACCTCACGGTATGGGTAGCTAGAAGACAACGGGCTGTGAGTGGAGGGATGCCTGCCATGAGAGGATCCACCCCCGTTTTTCCCGCCCAAAGTGAATCGCAATTAAATCGACGCAAATCTGCGATCGCATCCGGGGAGCCGCCGGGGTCCGATGTGGGCCACCTCTCGCCCACTTAGGTAATCTCTTCCAGGGAAGCCCCAGCCCGACCATCTTTCCACCTTTTCCACTATCATCTCACTGTGAGAAATGGCGGCAAGTACCCTCACGTACCGCTCCTGCTGTGTCTCCCAGAAACTTCCACTTCCACACCCCCCCGTCCGAGGTCACATCAATCCAATCAGACAGCCCACCCAAAATAGCGCCGGGAATTTTCCAAGAGCTTCCGCGATCGAGCTGCTAACCCTGTTGATCTGATTTTTGGGGTCCATGTTCCTCGATGTTCCTCAATTCCTCACACCACACACAACACACCACACACCACTCCTCAGTCCCGCTGTCGCTGTCCCTCATACACTATTCGTACAGACCCGACCACATCAGACTTTTGCTTTGGCACCCGGCATCATCAGCCACCAATCTATCCGTCTTCACTGCCTCAGCTTCTGATCGCACTCCCCCTTCAGCAGAGTTCAATGGGCTTTCGGTAGAACCTCCAAAAACAGCGCAATTCTAATCCACACAACCATTTTGCAATTCCCTCCAACCCAGACCTATCATGGCACATGGTAATTGGTACGGATACCTGTTGTCGGGGCTGCTGTCCGTTTTCTCCCATTGTCACGCTCCTTAACAGGGACAACCGTGGTTTCGGGTCGGCGCCGGCGCTGCTCATACGACAGGGACGCTGCTTCCAGGGATGCTACCTTGATCCTCACCAGACGTACCGCACGGAGTACCATCTACCATCGGCCGGCGCGCAAGGTTGTTCATAACGGCCCCTCCTCTACTACTGTACACTTCCTGATCATTGTGCATAAGAGTCCGACGTATTCATCTGGCCATCTCAAATCACCTACAGATGACGGATAACAGTCTATTCGCCGGCTTGGGTGGGATGGAAATAGCCCGGTTTGGCCGCAGACAAATAAAGAAGCCCGAGCCGAGGCAAGCAATAACAGCAATAGCGAAATGCGAGCGGGAGTTCTTCTGCCTGCCACTCCGCGATCTGCGCCTGATCGTCACTGACAAGATCACATATGCATTCGAGGTCTCTGATCACTCAAGGAGCCATCACTGCGGCTACGGAAACCCAAGAAAAAGCAACGTAAAGCATACCGCAACATGACTAGGTGCGAACTCAAGCCAGCTTATCCCACGGCAGAAGTGGGATGCCCAAGCTGCCATCACTTAATCGGGTCAAGTTCTTGATCCTCTTCTTTGGACGGAACTTCGGTCTGAATGTTGGCAAGCATCTGAGCACAATTCAGCCCGGCAGATGGACTCAGATCCAGCCCAACCATCGCAGGTCCACATCGACATCCCCGGATGCGCTATATCCAAGGGCCGTCATATTGTGAGATTTTGTGCTCGGAAAAAATGGCGTAGGTACGTGCTTCCATCAAGCAGCGCCTGGTGTTCCTTGACTCCGTCATGGCGATTGTTCCAAGGCAACCCATCTCAAGCTACGAGCTACCTACTGAGGCACGTTCGGGCTTCACCAAGACGAGACATGACGGTCTGGCCTTGTCTCATCTCGCTGCCACGCCCAATTTGTTCTACCTACTCCTCTCGAGCTCTGCCAACCACGCCACGCGGGACTATCCAGAATGAAACCACAAGTTGTGTACAAACCACCACGTCGACTGCAGATGGACACCAGCACTGGCCATGTTGACCGCCTTGTTTTTCCACGACCGGAAACGCTGCGTTTCCTCGTCAGCCGCCTAGTGGCCTGTCACATCCACTTTCTACGCAAGATGGCAAGATATTCTGCCCGTCCTCAACTTCGCCCTAGGCCTTGGCCACCAAACTCAAAATGTGCGATTATAATTTCTCCAAAGATCGGCCGAGATGAGGAGGAGCACGTCCGCAACCACCTTAGCGACACAGAAAACCTGATGCAACGCGGCCCTATTACACACTGGAATGACTCGGACGCCCGTTCGACGGCGCCGAATAGTCTCTTCGCGGCTATCAGACTTCATCTCCCGCCTACAGAATTTTGATCATTATCACTTCAATCGTCTTAGCCCTCCAGTATCTAAATCTGGGATCGGTCATATCTCTTTCCCGGATCAACGCCCCCTTGCTCAAGCGAGATTTAGTTATGTCCAGCCTTCAAGCCACCGACTTTGAAACCTTCAGCGTGGTCTCCGGCTCTCCACGTTGTCCAAGCCAAGCCCAATGAACAAGATATGGAAGGCGGCAGTCGGGCGCTAACCATCAGAACCGCACAGCTTGCTTAAACGGGCCGTCTCAGTCTTGGAATGCTGCAAAGAGTCAATCTGCTCCCATGGCACTGACCTCTAGTCTGCCACGAGGTTTCTCACGGCGAGCTGGACCCACCTTGTCGAAGCCCACTTGGACCCATCCCGATCCTCACGAACCTGCGTCGTCCTCAACATCATCATCACCTGTACGGAGGACTCCCTAGACAATCTCGCAGCTCACGAACCCCGTCATCAAACCTGTCCACCAGCCCCTCATCGGTCAATACTGCAAGTCTCTTAGATCAGCACTCCTCATGCTCAGCTGGCGGCGTTGGCCTGGCCTGGACTCTACACGAAGCCACGCAACACGATGCCATCGTCTGTCCCCCCTTATTATGCTCCCGCAAAGCTCGCACAGCGCGAAACAGAGATCTCGAATAGATGCAGATGCGCCTGCTTGCAGCTTTTGACTCTGATGCCGTTGTACAGCCCTGCACTCTGTCAAACAATGTACAGTGACAACAGCCACGCGCGGTTGGTAGCACCATGGCCGACCTCTTGCCATGTTTCCCCTCTAGTAGCCTTGGAGAAGGATCAGCCGGTCCTGCCAAGGTAGCCTAGGGGCGGCTGACCACTTGTCTGCCCACATGGATGAGCGCTTGGATTGCGCCAAAATACTATTGAAAGGGCGACGAGAAAACTCACGTTCTTGCACTGTACCCATGCGTCACTCCATCGATGCATGTAGGGTGCCTGGCGAAAGGGTTCGTCTGCACCGCGCGGGCGCATGGACGAGACGCAGAGACGCGCCACCTTGGACCTTGGGGTGCCGCCATTCCTCTTCCATGCCAGACCAGCCGGCCCGGAGCCGATGTCTGCCAACGTTGTGCATACGGTGCACACCGAGTCTCCCGTATGCCATGCACAAGCCCACTTCACACAGGCCTTTCGTTCTCGGAACAAGACACGTTACGATGCCGCAAGCAGAGGAGCATGCAACGTCCTGACGAACTTATGCTGCGGAATGCAATGCGGCCTGCTACACTACCATGCTTTTTTGTTCCGGCCGTCTTCGAATCGACGAAATACTTGGTACGGATACGCTTCTCATGCTTTTTGGGTCTCGAAAGTTCACAACATCCACCAGAATACCACCGAAGCCTCCTTCAAATTTCCCAGCGTCCAGATACCGGCAAGCCCCAAACACATCTTTGCCTCCCGTCAAAGTCAAAATCATTCCATCAAGTCCAGGAATGTGACTCGCAACCTCGCCTCGAGGGAGATGCAACCAAAGTCCAAAACAGCTCTCGAGCCTCCCCATAGAAATCCCCTTTTGTCGAAACAAGACCCATAAACTGATGGCAATCTATGATCTGTGGCATCGGCATCCACTACAAGACGGGGATCCAGACTAAGGCACGCGGCGAAGTATTCCCCGGGGCGGCGATGGAGGAAAAATGTGACGAGTTTCTGGGTACTCCATCTCCGTACCTACCCCTTCGCGCTCAGCGCGCCTAGCCGCAAGTGATGGTCAATGGCACGCACATCACGCCGAATCCTTCCAGATAGACTTTTTCTCGGTCCCCTCGAACGCCCCGTCGCGATGACACATGGACCGCATCTCGAACCATGCTGGTACTTTTCCCATCCCTCCACTGCCCTCTGGGATTTGGTACGGAAACCCAGAGCTTGGCATCTGGGCACGGCTGCCAAACCCGACACGAGGTCCCTTTTCCAACCTTCCATTGTAGTTCCGCATGGACATTAGGAGAAACGTTTACTTGACTAATGTGCGGGACGGAAGGTCCCTGTCTCCCCGCTTGTCAGCCTTTTTCGGTCGTCGAGCCTCCCTCCGGCATGATCGCAGCTATCCCGCCAGCCAGGGAACCACGACAACAAGATCCTCGTTGTCGTCCCAAGGACGCCGAACCCTCGTCTGTACAAGGCGTGATGGGGGTTCATGGGTGGGAATCGTCAAAATGTTCAACGCCCGCCGTGTAGTTGATTTAGCACTAGCCCAGCGCTCCCCGGTCGGGCGTAGGGTACCTTTCCGGGGGACAGCCACGCAGCATTTCTGATCGTCCTTGTTTTGGACAATTCATTTGCGGGCGGTAGATTCTCTCGAACCGAGCCAAAGAATACCTACGCCACTCTACGGATACAGCAGGCGGCCACAACAGGGGGAGCGTGGTCGGTCAGCTTCTTTTCCCTGCAGAGCCCCAGGGTGAAGGGGGCGAGCCATCGATCAACCATTCCCGTGCGCTAGAAGCCATGGAAAGAAACGACTCACCCCTCCATCAACGGGACAAGGACGAAGGAAAGAAAGAAGAGGGGATGGCGAACGGCGGCTTTGGGAGAGAGATGGAGGCAAATCGCAGCGATTTACGGGAAGACGCACGGAAGGGAAAGGTAATTAATTAGGGGGGGAATCAAGAAGATGGGCGCATTGAACACATCACCAGTTGCGACAGCTCACATGCCACAAGGTCAGCACCGGCGCGCATCGCGAATTGAACAAGCCACCGCCGCACGCCGTCTGGCCCCCGGGGGGAAATAGGAAGAGGAAAACCTGAGAAAAAGAAGACTTCTCTGTAGCCGCAGAGAGGCAAAGAAGGCGTGCGGTGTACCTCACCAGTGGTTGGAGGTCTGGAGAAACAACCAATCCTCCAAAAGTCGAGTGAATGGGCGATTTACGGGGGGCGCCTGTCTGTCAATTTGTTGCTGCCACACCCCCCCTCTCATCCATGCTTCACCTTAGGGCGATGAGGTAAGATGCACACCTCCTACACCCCTCCAACCCCAACCCGCAATTGCATTGGCATCGCTCGCATTGCTCGCACTCATGTCCTGGGGATCAAAATGCTGTCGGTAATGCTGGTTTGTACAACGACACACGGCGGCGCGTACAGCACCGACCACGCAAGCTCAGTGCCAGGTCAAGCTCGCTCCGTGAAGGTTAGCTACGGCCGATGCATTGTAAATTGCCTCAATCACAGCAACCTGACCATTCTGGCTCTTTTCTGCCTGGTGGTAATGGCAGTGGTGTTGAGTTCTTGTTTCTTGTGTAATGCTGAAGTCGTGACTTTTAGTGACACTCACACGCACGCCCCAGACTTTTTTTGTGTACCCTTATTTTTCCTTCCGTCGAATCGGCAAGGGGGAGGAAACGGTGCGGGGAAAACAACGGAATCTGTTTCTTGTACGGGACTGGATGAGAGGGGAGAAGGGGATCTGACATGGCACAAGAGGATGGCTGTGGCATGGAGAACAAGCAGCGAGAAGGCAAGTTTACCCTTCCTTTAGTCACCCATTCGCGTACAACGTCCCACGAACATCGATATGAACAAGCAGACTACCCGTCTCTGCGATCTAGGGCCCCCCCTCTTTCACGCTACCCAAGTACAAGCCACACGTTGCTCTTCCTTCTCTCTTTCTGTCCCTCCCTCTATCTACTGTGTAACCGTATGTGCCTCTCTTCTTGTCAACCCCATGAATACGGTTGTATCGTACCCTGCCAGCCTGCCTAACCTTGCCCACGTTGCACGCGGCGGAATCGGCGGACGGCGCGACTGCACGGTATATCTGCCATCCATATAGATAGATACGACGTCGTTATACGTTATACATCGCGATAGTGCATGTACAGATAGATGGACAGGCCCTGCTTCACACCGTCATCCCCCCCTCTCTCTCTTTCCCCCTCTTCCCCAATTTCCCGTTTGTGTCACCAGAGAAATCTTGAGATGCGTTGGTTTGTATTCTTTTCCTGCCTTTCACTCCCGAAAGAAAATCAAATATGCGGTCGCCTTGCCAGGCGCCTCGTCGGCTTGTGGCCTTTCCGCCTTGCGAATCTATCCAATCAGAAGACTGTCAATATGTGCCTCAAAATGGGAATCTACATGATATGATTCTCTCTGATCAAGCTCCCTCCTTGCATAGTATCCGTACCTGCCCAGTGCTTACAGCCTGAGTGGCCCGTCCCTCCGATGAGGAGGGGCGTGTATGTCTCGAAGTTGGTTCTTTTCTCAGACGGACGGAAATGCTGACAACTAGACGAGCGGTATGAGCAGGTACCTACCCACTTACTTACCGATACCTTCTACCTATACAAGTGTATTTGCGTATCTTGTGCAACATCGGGGGAGAGCCCACAAGGCATAAAGCTGATGAAGGGATGAGGGGCAGATCAGAAATCCTTTGAAGAGGGCAAGAAGACATCACATCATGGCGAGTCCAACTCTGACGCAGCGTGGGTTTGCCAAGTACTTGGGTCGTACATACATCAGATCAGATCAGAAACCATGACAAGTGACAACCTTTTTTCCTTTCTTTCTTTCTTTCTTTCCTTCCAATTTACCCTGTTGAGATTCAGATCCGTCCCCCCCCCCCCCTCTGCTTCCCCGATTCCACCCCCTTCTGGCGCACGTTTGCGAGATTGCCCTGCACCTTGACCTCTCTTTTTATCCTCTTCATCTCATGCGTCATCTTATAGTAATAAGTTGATCCAAGGGCTTTGGATATCTATAGTGTGTACACATGAGGCAACGAAATCTGGAGAGGAATATCATCGGCTCCCGAGAACCGCGCGGCAACGACCCGTATCCAAACCACACACCACCCACCCACTTGCCCACACACCCCGTTCCCTGAAAAAGCTCTCGCAAACAGGGAGGGGCCTTGTAATTCTTCCTCTCTATCGATCGACACGTTCTCTTATGAATCTCACTCCATACTACACAGACAATACGCACGGGAGTACGTACATGGTATCCGTACCCTCTACCACGGCACTCGAA